CCATGCTGTGCAGAATCTTCAGACCCTGCAGGAGGACCTCATTGACCGTTTTCAAGAACGGGCCCAACATCTGCGAGAGCTTCTCGCTGAGGAGGAGGTCATTGCGGCGGAGTTTGCCCAAATTGGCAGCATGGCCCGAGAGGAAGTTGATGAGGCGAATGCTGTTATTCAGGATATGCTCCGAGATGTGCAGCGTGGACTCGATAGCGCTGTTGAAGCTGCGGATGCCAGGTTCCTGAAGATGGCAGGGTCCCCTGAGAATCTTTTGGAGGATGTGGGCGACATTGAGAAGTACTTGTCCGAGTTGCCTGGTGACTTAGGTACAACCCTCACAGTGCCTTTGGAGCAAGTCAAGGAGAACCTGCCCACATGGACCCCAGCCATCTCTAAGGAAATTCACAACGTGGAGGAGGCTACACAAGCTCTCAAGCGCATCCCCATGCATCGTGCTAAGGCTCTGGAACGAGAAGGACGCCTCAAGCTGGTGCCCGGCAAGCTTGTGTTCACTGTCAAACCTCCAGCTGAACCTTCGAGAGGTGTTCCAGGAGCTCCCCGCTGGAAGAGAAAAGCGAGGCTAGTGATTTGTGGCAATTTCATTGATCCGGATGCTAGCATGAACCTGTTTGCCACGGGTGCCTCCGCTGAAAGTTTGCGTGTGGCGTTGCGCTTGGCTTCCAAGGCTTGTTGGTCGGCAGGGTGCACGGACATCACAGGAGCCTTCTTGCTTGCGATTTGGCCAGCGGACAAACCTACGTACGGAGTTTTGGCTCCGCGTGTCTTGGTGCAGGCGGGACTTGCCCGAGATGACGAAGTTTTCCTGGTCTGCAGGCCACTTTACGGCCTTCGTGAAGCACCGGCCCTCTGGGCACAGTTCCGCTCGGAGAAGCTCGCGGCCTTGAAGGTCCCTTTCCGTGAAGGATTCTTGGTCTTGAGGTCTGTGATCACGGACAGTGAGTTGTGGCGGATCATGTTCATGGATGCGGAGGGCGAGCTCACCCTGTGCGGCTTGTTGGTCACATACGTAGACGACCTGCTTTACCTGTGCTTGAAGTGCGTCATGGAGGCTCTGCATCGGGCTGTTAAGGAGATGTGGCCGTGCTCTGCGTTGGAGTTTGCTGCGCAGGGGGAAGGAGTCAGGTACTTGGGCATGGAGCTTTATGAACGGGATCATGGGTTCCTTCTTGGCCAGGCAGGGTACATCGAGACCCTTCTCAAAAGTCATGGCATGTCTCCAGAAGCAAGGGCCCAACTCCCGTGCCCAAAGGAGTGGCTTGGGGACGAGGATGCCGATGCCGAGGTGGAAAACTTCTCTGAGACGGAGTTGCGACAAGGACAACGTGTAGTAGGCGAGTGTCTCTGGCTCGCCTTCCGCACGAGACCAGATCTAGTCTTTGTCACGAATTATATGGCCTCGCTAGTATCGAAACGACCTTGTTTCGTTTATCGCATTGGCCTCAAGGTCTTGTCCTACCTGAACGCCACCTCAACGCTGCAGCTTCGAGTTGATGGTCGCAGCAGCACGGATAGCCTCAGCAGCCTGGAACATAGCAGCAGCCCTACAAGCATTACATCACATACCTTTCAGGGCCCCCTAAGGGTTGAGTTAAGAGGTTT